TTCCCTTTATACAAATTCGAGTTAAGTGCCATTTCCCAGGAGCACATGTACAGCATAAAGTGAGGGAAACCTGTATTGGTATTAGTTTCTCCTGCCTCCTGGTAGAAGAAAATAAGTGGCCACTGTAAGAAACTAGCCCACAATGGACTAAATTCTTTCCAAGGTTCAACTGAAGCACTACAAGACAGAGAATGACACCCTGAAGTCTGGCCAGTCTGCTGGTCTGGCCATAGTCAAACAAAATGCAGAAGTTGCCTTGCAGAATCTTCTCACAGTTATAACCAACTCTCAGTCTTCAATAAAGTAAGTTCACCATCTTAGAGAAACGTATCAAATAGAGCATTTGGCCTGATGAGAATCCTGTACTACATGCAAACTACTGTCTTGAGACCTTTCCACTGACCTTAGGGCATTTTAACTTGGTCTTTCTGCATTGAGCAGAGGCTGAACAATAGAAGCAGCTGATCAGTTTCACTGTAGGTTACATTAAGTACCTACCTTGGGTAGATGGGGCAGGGGGTAGGGGAAGCTGAAGTGCAGGTTAACTGGCTCCTAGCTAAGAAGGCTTATATTAAGCATATTTCACATAATAAGGGGTGCATGTAAATCCCTCCCTTCTCTTTTTTTTGGGTCTAATTACATATCTGCCCTTTCTCTGCTAACACTTGCTTTCTGTGCATGTACTTCCAGGCAGTTGGTTTCTGGAGCAGAATCGCTGCAGCTAGTTGCTGAACTTCTTAAATCAATAGACAGAATATCTGAACTATCAGAGGATGGACCATGAAAAGCTACACGTGGCATTCTGATGAGAGCTGTGTTTACATGAAGAAATCACTACTTTTGAGATTTACTACTTTAATATATTATAAACCTAAACATATACAACCTTTACCCATACTTCTGCTGTGGAAAACTGCTATGCATTGGTGCAGTATTAACCCTTCCTGTATCAACAGTGCAAAGAGAGTCTCTGAGTTGCTGGAATCCAGTGTAGCTTAGCACATTGATGCTCTGCTGGATTGTGATGCAGGGGGCCGGTCCTTTTATTTCGTGCATTGCAGACTCCTCATGGGTGTGCTGGACTCAGCTATTCTCCTCGCAGCCTCCTTCCTCCATTAGTGCTGTGACTGCTGTCGGTATCTTTTACCATTCAGGAGCAATAGTACTTGGAGTGGTTGGTGGGGTTTTTTTCACTGCCGTTGGTGAGGTACAGCAGCAGAAATATTTTTTATTAACTTTGTATAATAAAATGTGGAAAGGACCAATTATAAGTAACATAAGGCAGCAATGGTTTCAGCTCTTCAGTTTGAAAACGCATTTTTAATTGGGTTAAGCTTTGTAACCACTCTTTTTTTTTTAAGAGAGAGAGAAATTAAATTGCATATAATACTGCTGTTGTGGATGGCTCACGTCTTCTCCAAGGGGTGGATTTTTCTAACTAAGAAATATGCTGCTGTCTGTTCCTTGGGGGGGTGAGAATACTACCATTGTATCCCTAAGGCAGCTACTTTGGGAGACCATGCTGAAGGCAGGAGAAACATTGCATACCCTCCTTCCATGCCTTTTAAACACCAAGGTGTTTATTTCAACCTAACACAGCAGCCCCTGCTCTGCCCACGGCCCACTGAAACCAGGGATTCCAAGCTGAGATCTGGCCTCCCATGCCAAACAGCAAAAGCAGCCTCCTGCAGGGAATGAAGTGACAGAGGAAAGGAGCCCAGGTCCATCTCCCTGTTAAGGGGTGGGAGGAAAGAGCAGTAAGCAACAAGTCCCCTGCCCTAATCTCAATTTATGACTCCTCAATTTACTGACTGCTTGTCTCGCATGTGACCAGCCCAGCCTCTGGCTTCTTTACTATTCATTCCAGCCATGACAAGCGAACACCAGCTGCAAAGATTTCCTCACCCTAAAAGGTTTTTAAACCTGAAACCTTGCTAATTTTTTTTCCAGCTACCTAAGTTGGTCTAATAAAAGATGTCAGATGCACCCAGAGAACCTTGTCTGCCGATGTCCTTAGACCAACACGGCTACAACCTACACCAGGGGTGGCCAAAATGAAGCCCACAGTCCTAGACTGGACCCAGGAGCGCTGCTCTGCCACCCACGTGGGCGCCGCTTCCCACCCGTGCGGCTACCCCTCACCACGTGGCAGGAGGTGTGCGTGTGCGTGCGCGTGCAGCCGCCTCGAGGGCGGGGCCGAATGCGTCACCGTCCCTCCCCCTCACGTGACCTGGGCGGCCGGCGCGGATTGGAGGAGGGGCGGAGCGGCGACCTGTGGGCAGCGAGTCCTTCCGGGTCGCGAGCGGCTGCCCCTGCGTGGCCGCAGGCGTCATGGCCCGGCGCGCGGGGCCGGGGCCTAGCGGGGTTTGGGTTGGGGTTGGGGTTGGGGCAGGGAGGGACAGCTCTCACCT